TTTTTTTAATTTATTTACTTCTTGTTCGGCTTTGAGGTCTTTCAAGGGCCAGAATACAATAGAATAATCACGATTAAGTATGAAATTGGCATCCTTGCCTTTTTTTGAACTCTAGATCGCTGCTCCGTTTTTTCGATATCGTTTAATTTAGAGTAGGCTCGACTTCATATTTATTTAATATTTACATGATACAATATTATAATTATTATTTGACTTATAAACTTAAGGGAAGGAAAATTTATATTTTGGAAATTTGGATTATAGTTGTCATGGGTGTTCAGCATTACGTCCTAGATTAAATTTGTTTGTTAAATATGAAGTACTGAGTGTATAACTCAGTACAGTAAACTTTACGAAATTGCGGATATGTAATTTTTTAGTAAGTACACACTACGATGTGAGAAATATCTTACACCGTGGTCCACTCGTAGCTCTTCATGGATCGGAGAATTGGTGCTTGTATGATTTTTCTATGACATTTGTTTAATACTTTCTGTAGTGTTTCTACTGAGGGTATTTCGTTTCCCCAAACATATGCATGTGTTAAGATGTGTAAAATTATCGTCTTTTATCGAAAAATACACCAATGTATTTAATATTGGACCAGTGGATCGTGCTTCTATTGATTATTAAATTAAAGGGATTAGGTCTTTGAAGTGTAATTACTTTTGCTTGGCATTTTTTCTGGATTAATTTTGATTCTTCACTTGTCTGTCCATAAATTCACTTGTCTGTCCTGTACTATTTTTATTTGGTCTTGGGATATGTCTTAATGTCCATTGCGAGAGAGGATATGGCTTCACGTATAGTACTCATGCACAGCGAGTACAGAGGCTTGCTGATATGTTTTGAGGCGTTGATAATTTTTCGATCACTTTTACCATGAAATTTCTATTTGTAAGAAACCCGTAAACATATCTGAAAATACAGAGGGCTCCGAAATAGTTCTGGGATGACCCACCCATCCCGCGTGCCCATTCCCGGGTTAACGAAATAAATTATCATGTTAAGAATATGTCTCACAAATCATTCTAGCAAATTCATATCAATTTTGATAAATTTCATATTGATTTATATCTACTCGTACATGGACACCATCATATTCATATGGCCATTTTTCAATTGACATTTAGCTGGACAAAAGCTACCAATTCCTGAACTTGTAAGCCCAATGTACTGCATGTTCACCGACATGTTTCCTCACAGGTTCTTCACAGGTTCCCATATATTCCCCAAATCTTCTCAGACGAATCCTCAAATATCCTCCAAATATTTCTCCAAATATTCGTCACATGTGTTCCCAAATGTTCCCCAAAAACTCTTATTGTCGGACCCTGATAATGAAAAAGTGGATAAATCTTGTCCTCGTTTGTAGTAATAACACGCTGTGTACTCTGAATCCATATTTTTGGGTCCTTAATACCGAAAAATCGATTAACGGCTAACGTGTCTGTCCTTCTGTCTTTGGTGAACGCTAGCGTCTGAAATCGTTCAGTCGATGTTCTCCAAAACTGACATTCCGCGATCAATTTGAGCGATCACAAGGCCCTACGAGTTTGAAACGAGCATTATGATTTTGGGGGATATTTTAAATGAAACTTCAAAATTTGTTTAAAAATGCCTGATCGAGATGGGCATCATTGACCCAGAAGTACAATACTTGTCGTAAATCCAAATGATATATAATACATTAAATGTCATTGAATGTCATTAAGACGTATATCATGCCATATAAAGAATAGTGTTCAATATTGTACAATAACACCTGCAAATTAGATTACAATACGGGTAAGTCCAGGAAAGGATCGAGTCGATCATTTTTAAGGGGCATCGTAGCTTTTTAAAGAAGTTCATACTCAAAATATAAATAAGTGTTTAAATCAATTTTGCCAAATAAAGGAAGGTAAACGAAGACTCTAGGCCTTGGGGGGGGGCATGGAAGCCATGCCCCCCCTTGGATCCGCCAATGGGTACGTCTCTTCAGGGAAATCTGTGGGTGACACTTTGACAATTCAAGGAAAGTTTCTGTGATGGATCGTCGGTCATTCAGTTCACATTAACTTAATCGTGTATAAACGGTACTCTATCATACTATATTGTAACTTAACTTAATCGTATGAGCTTTCCAAACTGTGATTTTAGTGCTGATAAAGTACTTGTCGTGATTGTTAATTTATTGAACGTTGTTAACAATTGAATGATTAGTCTACCTACACATTTGACTATGTATTAAATATTTTATTTATGCTTTTTACTCACGTAGTTGTATGTTTGACTATCAGCTACGTTGTTTAACTTGTATATTTGACTTTTAAATCGAAATACCTAAATAATGGGCGTGAAATTTTCCTCCGGCCCGGGCGGCTGATACCCACACTACGCCACCTATAGTTATATATATATATATATATATATATATATATATATATATAAACAGACAATACTAGATTTCATACTCGCACATTCCTGAATCTCTCACCATGCTTATCCTTTCACCTTTGTGTTCTAATGTCCACAGTATCTTATCCTGATGATTCCACCTTTCCCACGTTCTTCATTCTTCAAAAATCCGACATCTCTGTAGTATGTGTTCCCAGTCATGTTCCATCTAACGGAGCCTACAGTAGCATTGAGGGAGTATTATAAAGCAGCTTTGTGAGACGGCAATTTCTTATGGGCACGTTAATGTCTTAAAGATCCGTCGTCTCGAGTCTACTGATGCGTCAATTTAAATTTAAATAAGGTAAATTACATTACATAACGCAAATTCAGAGTACTGGGGTGCCCTTTTCCCTTGTAACCCATCAGTTACGCGAAATTGAACTCTCCCGTAAATAATCACGGAACGCTTATATCACCTCTTCCATTGCTAAAACGTAAAAATAAATTGAATACCAGCAAAAACAGTTTGTATTAATTTTATTTTGGGTAATGTACTATTAATATTTACAATATTTAATGAAGTTCAATATTTGGAACATAAATTAGAAACAGATACTTCGTGCAAATGTACTTTGAATGCTACCGCAATACCTTGAATAATGATAATGTCTACCTAAGAGTAACCAGGAATTGCGGGCGACTCTTGGGCATACGAAATTTTGAGAGGTGATAATGATGGGTTTACTTGCCTTTTGCTATCTTGTAAAAAATAGTACCGAAAAGACAAAAACATTTTCATTTATCCTACAATAGTGTAACACATATTTCCAAAAATTGATGAAATATTTATTTAAACACGGAAATATGTATTTAAATAATTATCCGAGCCCTAGTTATCACCCACTCAAATGATTTGTTTACAAAAATGCGGCGGGGAGAGGCGCTTACGATGCACTACAAAACAACATGCAGCATGAAGGTTAACGACCTCAATTTACTATTCGCATGCACATATGAAATACTATTCGCGTACAATCACTCGCGTAGTAAAAAGGAATTTTTAAACTAATTCAAGTTTAGCCAAGTCAAATGTAACCTAAACGTTACCGTCTGTCAGAATTGGCTGGCTGGCTGACTGGCTACACCTAACAATCAAGAGTAGGGCGAATTTTTGAGAGAAGAAAGAGAAAAATTCTGTCAAAACGCCAGACCTGGAGAACGCTTGGGCGGGAGTCTTCAGTACTAATTTCACGAAGTTCAAAAATATACTATAGATCACTTTTGAATATCTTCTTCGTAATCTAAAATCATGAATGTTTTGTTGTCTTCAGATTGAAAAATAGTTATTTCTGACTTGAGTTGTAAAAGTGAGATTTTATTTTGCCAGTAGGAAAGGTCGCGACAGGAGACAGAGGCGCAAACCTACAAGCAAACTTTTACCACGTGAGTCACACACTACTTTTTAGATAGCCTTATTGACTTTCATTTTAGTTTGATTTAAGTACGAGTGTATAAATCACTTGATGCATTAAGATGAGTAGTAGCTGAAGCAGTCACACGAAAGATTTTTTGTTGCATTCTCATATTTATCTGAACACTTGAGCATCGTTTCACTTTTAGCACTAGTGCTGAAAATTGGACTTCGAGCGCGGTATATATACACTGAGAGAACAGTTTTCACTAGAGTCTGTCTAAAAAGAAGTTATTCCTGTAAGTCTTGAGGAAAAGAAAACAATAACCAACATTATGTAATGTGTGGACAACCCCAAATTGTATACTTGGAGGTTCTACTCTATTCTGAATACCAACGAATGCTATAGAGTGGGGGTACCTAAAAATGTCTAACAATGTAGGTAAAATAAGATTCGAAAGAGTATTATTTTGTAGAATACTACTTAAATATAACTAGGTCTCCACTTGCCCCCCGCACGTTCTCTCAAATAATGGCCACAAATTTTTCGCAAGATGCTCGACATGTAGCCTGCAAGTATATACGTATGCTCCCCGCGTATTCCTTGCAGGTTTCCCTACATAATTTTTCCCGCATAAATTCTTGCAATTAACATAACTATCTAAAGGAATAGTCAGAAAAAATAAGGAAAAGATATGTAAAAACCGGTGCTGCAATGATTCAGTTTTTGAACTATTTTTGCAAACACTTTGTGCCCCTAATTCTGACCACTACTCAAGTTCGCAGGATTTTGGTATGTGTGCTTCATTATGTATTCTGTAATGTTTGATGTTTTTGTACTGACTATTCGACTCCTTTGGTATACATAATGAATCTTCACGTATTATTTTTTTTTTTTCAAAGCAATGAAACAGTTGGAGGGAAATTCGATTTGAGAGTGGTTGGTTCTTAAACTGTGGGGATTTAATTTTGACGGATTTATTTTTTGACGGATTGTGATTCCGATATTTTTGACAAAAAATATAATTAGTTTTTTTTTTTCAAATTTAAAAATCAATTTCATTTCAAAATGCTCCGCTATTTTTAACTAGGAAGGCACTCGGCATGACGTTAAAAACTACAACCTATTGTGATCCCGCGTTTTGCCGCTAGAAGCGCTGAAGTGCATCCAGCCTGTAGCGCAACTCTGTGGCGACCGGCGCAGACCAGTCGACGGAGAAATCGGGCGCGACTAACGCTGGTCGGGAGTCCGCCAGGTGAGGTTGCATGAGTTAAATGCTCGGGGGTAGGATAAGTTAAGTTGCTCATTCCTCATGAGAAAATCGTGCTTTGGGTTAATTTATTTCAAGTTTCATTTTACAATTAGACATGTTGTCTGAGTGAGTGTTTCCAACAACTTCAAATAACTAATAGAAGTGTGCGTGAGAGGTTAGAAAATTTTGTCTTCATGAAAAAAAGAATTTGGAGATTTGTGTTTTTTGCGATGGGTCACATATAAATCAACAAATAGTGCTTACTATCATTAAAAACATTATTATTCGTATTATTCTTTTTACAGAACATAGTACATTATAATGACTTCACAAGAACTTGGACCCATTCCCAAAGTTTCCACAATATGCTCATTAGAAGAACAAGTTAAAGATGGCAAGAACAGGCACTTAGTGAAGTGTCAAAGATGTCCTTCAAAGATTTTGAATCCTGGGATGGCAGTATATAAGCAAGTTGAGGTATATCTAATTAATGTGATTTTGTAAATTTCTTTATTCCAACTATTCTGCACATTCTGAGTACAAAGAACAATGATTAATTGAAGTGATTTTTTCTTTAAGTTTCCATTGCCATACATGAAGAAGAAAAGTGATGCATCAAATTCAACAGAAGAAGAAGTAGTGAAGGATTATTGGGTTGTTGATGACATGTATCACTTTGAAAATGTTGGATTTTCAAACACAATATCTGGCATTAAATATTTAGCCTGTGCTGACTGTGAAGTAGGTCCTATTGGATGGTTTGACATTGCAGCAAAAACTAGTTATGTTGCTTTGTCTCGAGTGCTTCATGGTCATGGATAAATTGCAGGCAGGTGTACTTCTGAACGTATTACTAGTAACAATATTCATGCTAATAAACTGTGTAGTTGCTCACATGATTTTTTTTTGTGGCTTTTTATTGTGTGATTGTTTTTAAGTATAATTGCAAAATTAATTTTTTTATAATTATTGAAATTATAAAAAAAAATGCCTAATGCTTAACTGTAGTAATTCTGGTGTGAACGTTTCCCTTCTCTTCTGTTCATTATGGTAGTTATTGAATGGTTGAATGTTTCTGAAATATGTGTGCCTTTTACTAAAAGTTTAAATATTATTTTATGTTTACATCAATATAAAGTAGTATATTTGTTTTATTGCATAATTGTAGAGTTGAAATATATTTTCTTACTATTCCTTCCCCCCCCCCGCTATTTTCGGTAATCTATTTTAATGAAGTCTTCATTCAGTGACTGTTTATTCTTCTTTGAGTAATATTTATTTCTGTAGTTTAGAATGTTTCACTTATGTCTAAATATCTTAGAGTAGATTAAAACTTCGTATGAAATGTAATTATTTTTTTTTTTAATTCCAGGTTGTCATTATGCTATAGCTCTATTGTGTTGGTCTTGGTGACATCTATGCTAGAATAAATTTCATGTTCTCCAAAGTCGATACAGCTCTTTAGATGTGCATATCTTAGCGGACCAAATGCATACTATTGACATGTGTAATATCTAATATTACAACTATGCATACCACCTTCTTTTATATTACATATATATATCTATATTTATATGTATTATGTATATAATATTGCACACATAACTTTTGAGCTTAAAGCATTCTTTGCACTTTAATGCTTCAGCATTGAATGCAATGCATTGTGCACTGATCTTCATGTCTTTCATGAAAGTATGAGTTTTGTCTGTCTCATATTGTAATGTCGTAAGCACAGGAATTTGAAACATTCATTGTAAATATAAGTATCATGCATTCTTATTAGTATTGAACGCTGACAGCTTATCTTCGTACTAAAGATATATTGTAGCATTTAAGAAATTGACATTTCTTTCATAAATATTTACGAAGTCTCCTATGATTACATGTACACTGTTAGTAGGAATATGAATATTACAGTTCTGGTGAAGTGTTGCTACACTCAAGTGTCAATAATATAAAGCAAGAAATAAATGTATGCTGTACAAAAGTGTATATGAATACGTTTTAATACACAACTTAAATATGTATGTCAAGTGGTGGAGAGATCTGTGTTGTGTATGGTTAGGGTGTACAATTCTTACGCCTTGTATTTTAAAATTGTAGTTTATAATTCCACAATTCATGTAGGAGTTTGTTTGTTTTCTGTGTGAAAGAATATCTAATTTAGATATCTATTTTGTATAAGTATTTAAATTTAATTATCTAAAACTTTATAATCTATATTTGAAATTTTCTTACAAATATAAACTAAAGGTTAAGATGGGACTGTTTTCATTATGGAGGTAGTGAAATGTATTTTGTGTGCAATTTCTGAGAGTACTACTAAATGTAAATAAGTAAATGTGTGGATATGATTTTGTTGTTTTATTTCCTATATGTTTTATTAATAAGAAATTAACATGACATAAACTTAAATGAAATGGAAGTGAATTTTATATTGACCATCACAATACCATTGGCATTCCTCTTGTAGTTTGATTTTCAGTAACATCGCTAAATTGTAATTTTGAGTTAGGCAACTATAATATTTTTCTTTTGTGGATGTAAGTTAAATAGTTTTGAAACACGGAAGCCACGAGGAGTCACAATTGTTCTGCAAATTTAAAAAGAGCATTAATTGGGGAAGTAGAATATTCCTAGCTGTGTTTTTTCCCTACATAGGCTACTTTGTGCAAAATGGTCATGCAAAAGTTTAATTGCTTTAAATACCGGACAATATTGAAGACAGAGGGCTGGAGAAAAGTTAAACTGGGAGGAAAGGAAATTTGAAATGATTAATAATTATATTGAGTTTTGCTTTAAAATCTTTTACTAACACAAAGGCTACAATATCCACCCTCAACAGAAGCAAATAAGCGTTTGGTAGTGTTTTTTCATGTGTAGGTTAGCTTTACAACAATTGAACTTGAAATATGTTCCATGATTAAGTTAGTGCAGTGTGGGAGGTTTGGATAATTACTGTGGTTGCAGAGCAAAATTTTACTTGTTGTAACAGCATGATTAAAAAAATTATCAAAAATATCTGAAAACAATGAATCACTAAATTATATTTTCATTAAAGAAAGGTATTTTTTTTCTTAACATAGTACAAGTATGTATGTTGGTGTACTCGGAAAGACTTAGTTTACTTGCTCAAGTTTCCGTCAGCAAAAACACCGGTAAGGTGATAGTGATAAAACTATTGCCATTGCTGGCCAGCTGGAAATGTAATCGGCAATTACTCTAAGAACCAAAGGAAACTGAAAAATTCGATCGAGGGGGGCACTAAATTAGTTCGAGTTTCGTTCTTTAGAATGAAGTAAACAAACGAATATTTCGTCACTCAAAAACTAGGTTCTCAAAAGTTAACGGAAAATATTCTTACGAATTGCTGAAGTCGATTAGACATACTTTACATTAAAATTTAAATGTAATCCTTTACCAATGTTCGAGGGCGTATGTGATGAATGGAAACTTACTCTAGCACTCTGTACGCAAAGCTAACACAACGCAATCGTTTAATTTTAATCTTTCTCTAATTTCAGGAAAACGAGTATATCTTAATGAAGCCGACATTTGCCATCCCTTAATATTCGGTGATACAATCATCCCTTCTCGTTTAGTTCCGTTTAGTCTCTTAAGTGTCCGATCAATGCATTCTGGGTTATTTTTTATGTGGACACGTCTTTAAAATCGCAACAGTATTAAGAACATGCACGAAAAATTGAATATTATCAGAATTTTGTCAAATCTGAAGCATGTGATTAATTCGTACTTATATTGTCAAAACTACGGGCCACATCGACAGTTTCAAAATTGGCCTTGTAGGTCGCAAAATGTACAGAAGTAGGTTCAGGAGAATAAGTGTGACATCAACTTTGCACAACTGAATAACAGCACCACAAAGATGCGTGTGATAATTTCTGATATGTGGGGAATCGATTGGAATGGCGTAGAAGGAGGGAGTATGTGAAAAAAAGAATGAACTGTTTACAGTAGAAGAAGCATGATTTTTATTTATTTAAAACGAGCTTTGTATTCTTCGTATATTCATCGAATTTATGATTGTTCGATTTTAACTTGGTAAATGACTTCAGATCAGCGACAAATTCAATTCACAAGCTGCAAGCATTTGTAGAGTGCACTCATCAAATGCTACAAGACGTTCGAGGCACATTTTTGCTTGCACTAACTTGCTGCTTAATTAATCTAATGACTAGTAATTATTACACCTCCAGAATTTTAAGCCATCACTTTTAAATAAATTAAACAAAAAGCACAACACGAAAACGTAAATTTAATCTTTCACTAATGTCTCTAGCTTTCGTAGTAAAAAAGCGAAACAAAACAAGAAATGTCTCCTATTCACAAAAACTATCGACTGAAAACTCTTCATACTATGACCCAAGAGAATTAGCGAATTATAGTTATTTCAGATATTGTAATAATCAAAATATTAGTATGAACATTATTTGGTATCTACATTGTCTTTTATTTTGGTGACTTTCTTTCAAGAAATCGCCGCACAATTACAGTACATGTCATTGTAATACTTGGATGAATTCGTTTCAACTTGGCTAGAATTAGAACCATATCTTGATGTGAGGTAGAAGGCAACTCATTATTAACGATGATTCAGGAGCGCGGTACAAGAGTGTGGTAGGCGTGGATCCAGGTACGAGAAATACTTGAGACCTTTCTGAAGGTGGAATTTCGAACGAGGCGCCTGCAAAAGCAACACCTTTGACATTCGTGCGTGGCAATTTGCCTACCACTCTGTCACGTAATCGGCATTATGTGAAATAAATTGCGGGTAGGATCGGCCAAAAACCGTAGTTGCTTTTAAAATATCGATATTTTCGAGCACAAATATCGATATTATGTTATCAATGTTTTCTTGATATCGATATATTTGTACAGAATTATCGATGTTTTAAAAAAATTCTCATGATATAAATAATATTTCCAGAATCTATTTTTCTCCATGGATTGCTCGATGTCAACAGTCATTCACAACGGTCACAGTTGTCGATCGCCAGACGGCACGAAACTGTTTGCTATTCGAAATCTTACTCCAGTGTTGTTATCTTTTTTGATGATTATTTTTTACATGGTAATACATTTAAATTGCATTTTGAACCTTGACTTTGCATTGATTAGAAAATTAAGATGAAAGTCAAAATTAAGGCTTTATATACTTTAAACTAATATTGGCGTGTTATGTATTGCATTAGAAACATGATATTTTATTTTGATGAGTTTCATCATATTTAAAACATTGATGTTTTTGTCGACATCGAAAATCTTTTGTTGATATATCGATATTTTTCTAAAATTTGCCTTAACTAATTGCTGGAGTCGATTACTTGGAAATAATAGCTGAGATACATAGTCAAGCTTCTGAAATCCGGAACATATTTTAGCTTATTATCCTTCAGCAAATATTGTAAACTTCATTAAAAATACTGTGAGTGATCCTCTCGATTCCTGATTTGTTTTGGAAAATTATTTCAGTTTCTTCTTTTCCTCTTCTTTATCCTCTTTCTTGTTTCATTTCCTTCTTCTTGGTTTCCTTCCTCGTTCATTATTATTTTTTTCCTCATATCACTACCTTGTCTCTTCCACATTCTTCTTGTTCTGTATTTTTTTCTTCCATTAAACAGATTGCTTCAAAACCAGACCGTTGTCTTCACAATCCTTTTCATTTTCCTCTGTTCATCCTTCAAAATGTTACTCCTACGAACGGAGATTCTTTTACTTACCATTCAAGTATTAGTTGGTCGAACTCATCATGAAAGTATATCTCTTCGTCTCAGAATACTCTCTGTCGCTCTCTCTGGTTTGTTGGAGGTTCATTTTCACCACGGATATGTTTTACGACTCAGAATCAGATAAAAGTTTTCCCACGCTGTTTCTGACATCAAAATATGTAACTCTAGACTAGAAAATGCCGCGAAATTAATTGCACCTCTCCTCCCAAATCGAGTCCGATGATTTGAAAAAAAGCGAAAAAAAAAACGCTTATAACGCGTCTCATTGCCACTGATTAGACGCCGCTCACCTTGCATTCACCCGCCGCTTACCTGTCAATCAATCACCTGCCATTTACCCTCCGCACACAATACACTTACCCATCGCTACCCGACTCGAATTCACCCATCACCATGCCCTCACCTATAGTTTATCCTACGGTACTCACCAAACTCTTGAAGGGTATATCCATGATAAATAAATCAATCGTAATTGCCTTATTTTACGTGGCGAGGCCATCAGGCCTTCTCTTCCGCCTGAGCATGTAAATTTTGCTATGCTCATTCCAGCATCTAGAAAAAGAAAGTATCACTCGGGCGACGACAAGGCGATTTGAATTTTGCTCAGAGGCTTCGGACTGTTATACCCAAGTTGACGGGTTCAAACCCGATCGAAGCCGTGGATTTTTAAGGGCGAAAAAATCCTTCGTACGCCTTCCTTCGGAGGGGAAGTAAAGCCGGCTGTCCCATGTTAGTAGATTTACTTGCACGTCCTCAAGCCTAAATGACGCCTCTGACCTAAATTAAAATCGCCTGTTTCTCGCCCAAGAAATACCTCATTTCTTTGCTAGTTGGTGGAAGGAGCGTAGCAAAATTTGCGTGGTCAGACGGAAGAGCAGGCCTTAGTCTCGCCACATAAAATAAGGCATTAATTCAATTCAATTCGTCATTGGCCAATTGTTCCAGGCTCTTCATTCAATGGTCCACGGATTCACGAACGGTCAGAACTGACTGCAGTGACACAAGTCCCGCCTGCAATAAGATCAGTGTTCGACGCATTAACATTTTTTATATTATAACATATATTTTATTTTTACGTCTTCACTGAAGGTTCTTCTAGCACACACTGGCATAAATTGTTTAACTGACACTTGCTCGTATCCAACAATCGGTAATTTTCCTCGCATCTCGACCTTTCGTTGTATATCTGATCGACACCCTTCTCGCCCCGGCAGCTCGTCCTCCCACTTCCACGGCCGTCTGGGCCGCTCCAACCAACCCCCAGGGCCCCCTAAAGCGATTAAGGCGCACGCGATGCATAATAAAGGGCCGCCTCCGCCGCCGCTGCTTCCGACACCGCTGGTCGCCCCGACACCAAAAAGTCTCGCGTCGATAGAAGCCGCAGCTCTCGCCCTCTCACAGACACTTCCCCGTAGGTGTCAGGTGCCGTTCAAGACCCGGCGACGTTGGTTTTAAAACGTTTCGAGAATATTCAATGTGAGCGTATCTGAATGAGCAACAACAACACAAAATTATTAAAATTAAGTGTAAGAACGCTTTTGAAAATACAATGACATTGTCGCAAGCTTTTTTGTGCAATCAACCTCTGATGTAAAGTACCCCATAAAATCCCCAATAAAACATTTTAATTTTTTAAAAATTATTACTCATTATCCGACAACGTTCCGATTTGA